AATACAACAGACATACGTATATGCACAAAACTAAATAATTGATACGACAGACATTCGTACATGCACAAAACTAAATATTATAATTTATGTATACCAATTACAATGATTATTCATCATAAAATTCAATACTTAACATACTTATTATCTACCTTCAAACTAAAAAAATTAATCATATTTTTTCAATATAATCGATCCTACTTACAAACTAAAACAATACATATCACATTTTGAACATATTATATAAGACACAATCCGAAATTTTAGTTTACAACATAAAAAACGTATGTTCCCGCACAAAGTGCGGGTCAAAATCTAGTGTAAATTTAATACACAAACATGTGAGAGTAAAATGGTGGAATAAAAAGTAAAAGAAAATTTATGTGGATCTTAAGCGAAATTTTTGAAAAAAAACACTAATGTAAATGAAGATATCTCGTGAAATAATATTCGGTCGAATTTTGTTATTTAAAAATGAAGATGGTAGATGTAACCGATACATTTATTTGTGGTCCCATCACCTACTTTTGCCCAATTTTGTCCACTAATAGAGAAATTTTTCTTTTGTACTACCAGAGTATAATAAACATAAAATACATACGTTTCGGTAAAAACCGTAAATTCCTGTTACAATTATTTTTGCCGGGTGTAAGTTACAGTTTATCACCTGTTTAATCGTAAATATAAGAGAATATAAATCACGATTTATAATTTGCATGTGATCCACTTGTGCATACATACAAAAAAAGAAGAAGATACGCAACAGTTGGGCAAGAAATAATAGATGAACGCGTTTGATTAAAAGAGACCGATGATCGATGATGAACAAAAAAAAAAAAAAGGGAGACCGATGATGTGTGAACCTAATGTATGTATTAAATAAATATGACATGTATAAATAGAATGTTTTCATTGGTTATTGACATTAGTTTTTTGTATACGTGTCAGTTTCCGAAATTGCAGAAAAAAGTGTCGTGTCAACACATGGAGAGGCTTTTGTGTTATTTTTTAATGGAAGATGACTTTTCTACTAAAATGTTTTAAAATATTGAATGGGTAAGGTGTACTTTTTGCCTTGTTTTGTCAAATTTATGACAAATTTACCTCTGAGCTAGGGTCGTGACATAGGGTCGCCAAAACATTCATTCGGGTGAGCACTCAACGATATCTTCCCTTGTGTATTCCGATAAACAAATGGAACATAGGGTATCATTTGGACAAGGGACAACAACACTTTACTCGTCTCCCCTAATTCCACCGTCTTGGCTTGTTCTAATGGTAGAAAAATGATTAGGAATGCTGGAATCACTAACAGAAAGAATGGTACGGATAGGCAAATGCTCAATATCTTTAGGGTTATTAACCATGGGTTCCTGTCAAAGAAAGGGTACAAGCTGTTAAAGGATGCAATTGATTCATCAAAAGTCAAAGACTTTGGACCGATGAAGAAGTCGTGGAGCTTGAGGTATTGGAATTTTAGATTTTAATTTTTTTTTGTCTATACTTTATTAAGTTTCTTTCACAATTATCGTCATGATAAACAACACTGTTTGGTGGTGACCTTCAATTTCTTCTTGCCATGCAGATTGGTGTACAAAAGCACTCAAGTTTAGGTAGCAAAAACATTCCATGGCGCAAGATTTTGGATGACGGTTCGGAGGTATTTCATAAGGACCGAAAGCGAGCTGATTTGAAGGACAAGTGGAGGAATATGGGGAACTGATATGTAGCTCTTTCCCGATGCGTATTAGTATGTTAGAATATGTAGGCTGAAGCCAAAATATTAATGTATCTCTCTACGGAAAACGTAAATTTTTGTATCTATATT